TGCAGCTACCATCTCTATCAAGCTCCAAATGTTTTCACTACCCCAAAGGGACACCCTGTATCTATTAAGTGGTCAGTCCCAGTGCCCCCTCCCCCAGCCCTTGGCAACCACTGGTCTGCTTTCGCTTTATGAATTTACCTATTCTGGATGTTTTGTATAAGTTGAATCATACAGTACATGACATTTTGTGTCTGGTTTCTTTCACTTAGCAAGATGGTAAGGTTTATCTCTATTCATTCCTTTTATGGCTGAGTAATATTCCATTTTATGGATGTACCACTTCTTTTCCTATTCACTTACTGATGGACATTAAGCTTGTTTCCACATTTTGGCTATTGTGCATCCTTCTGAAATACTCTTGAAGAAGGGGCATGAACTTGGAAGGTGAAGAAAATGGGAAGGGACATTTGAAGACCAGGGAGCAACTTATTTCAAGGCAGAAATTTTCCTACCTGGCATATTCCTTTCCTAATGTTCCAGGCTATAGCCCAGTCTCCACACAACAGCTTCAGTGATCTTTCTAAAAGGTACATCAGATCATTTCACTTTCCTGTTGAAGAGACCTGTCCCACATTTCATTTCCTCTGCTCAGTATGTCATGGTCACAGCACTGCTGTCCTTTCTGTTCTTATAATATATTAGGCTCATCTCCACCTCAGGGCCTTTGCACCTGCCACACTCTGGCAGGAACACTCTTCTCTCTGAACTTCTCAAAGCCAGCTTCCTCTCATCAGGCAAATACCACCTCTGCAGAGAAGCCTTCTCAACCACTCCAATAATGTTGTCCCTATCCACTCCCACTACCCCCAGAAACTGAACTGTCTCCTTTTATGAAATGATATTTCTTGTTCATATGTAGTTTATTATCTGGTTGGTTTGGTTTTGGTCTTTGGCTTCCCCTATCTCTGGCCTCTTTTTTTCCCCCATAGCAGAACCTCCAGGAGGGTAAGGAATTCTTCGATTCCTCAGGGCACAGAAGGGTGCTTGGAATTTAGAAAGTAATCAATAAGTGATTGTTGAAAGAGCAGATGGCTGGACAGGATCCAACACAGAACTGGCAAGGACTATGGTGTGGCTGGTGCAGAGAAAGAGAGCAGGAGGGCCATGAGTTGTGGTGGAAACAATGACTGTATCTAAATTTTCCAAGATGCTTCTTTATACAAGGCTTATCCTAACTTAGCTTTAGAAATTCTCTGATTTGATTATTTCTTGGCACTGAAAAAATTGAATGTTTACTAATTATTTCTGTCTCAGAGTCATCACAGAAACCCTAGAGGGATGTTATTGCTGAGAAGAGGCTTTGCAAAGGGGAGGTAGCATAAAAGACGGAAGGAGTCCAGACCCTTGTCTTTGCTCTTTAAGTGCTGTATGGCTTTGGACAAATCACCTAACCTCTCTGAAGTTCAGGTTTCTCAACAGCAGAAATAGAGAGTATTTGAGAATAATAGCTCTTACTATGAAACATGAAATGGGCTTGTAAATACTTACTCTTGTTTCTCTCTCAGAACAACCCTGTGAGACTGACAATGATTATTATTCTCATTTCATTGTCAAGGGTCCAAGAGGGTAAGTTAAGGTCAACTGTTAACCACTGGAGGAGCTGAGTAGTGTCCCATGTCTGGCCCCATGTCATATTTCCCTTCAGACTTCACTAGGTTACTGTAGTAATTAATTATAAATTTGGTTTTCTCTCCCAGAGTCCTTGTTTCACTGAACCTGGAAGTAGGGTGGGTGTCCTCCTTACTTCTCATGGCCACCTCTGGATTTTGTCTATCCTTCCTCCCCTAAAATCTCTAGTTTTGGAGTTCATTTCATCAAACTACACCATCTGCTGCCCCTTTATGATGCAGCCAACTACCGACCTCTCTTTGCTTGAAGATGTTAGCACCTCCCTAGCTGTCACTCCCTCCAGAATGATTCCTGTCATTCTTCCTGGTGATTTCAATACACACATACATGTCCCCTCAAATGCTTTGGCCACCCAGTTTTCTGCATTCTTTTATTTTTTTTTATTCAAAAAATCAGCTTTATTGAGTTACAGTAAACATCCTATAAAATTCACTTGTTTGAGTATATGCAATTCAATAATTTTTGTGAAGCCATCACTACAGTCCAATTTTAAGACATTTTTGTCACCCCCAGGATATCTCCCTGTCCATTTGCAGTCACTTCTCATTCCTACCACTCAGCTCCAGCCAACCCCTAATTTACTTCCCTTATCCATAGATTTGCCTTTGGTAGACATTTCATATAAATAGAATCCTATAATGTGTGGTCTTCTGGGTCTGGATTCTTCCACTTAGCATAATGTTTTCAAGGTTTACCCATATTGTAGCATGAATCATTACTTCATTTCTTTTAATGGTGGAGTAATATTCCATTATATGGATATAGTACATTTTGTTGGCTGATTCACTACTTAATGGCCATTTGGGTTGTTTCTGCTCATTGGCTATTATGAGTAAGGTTGCTATGAAACTCACATATCAGTCTTTGTGGGAATATATGTCTTAATGTCTCCTTGGTAGATACCTACAAATAGAATGGCTAGGTCATCTGGTAAATTTATATTTAACATTTTAAGAAAGTACCAAATTATTTTCTAAAGTAATTTCACCATTTTGTATCCCCACCAGCCGTGTGTGAGGGTTCCAGTTTCTCCACATTCTCATCCAACCCTTGGTAATGTCTGTCTTTCCGATTGTAGTCATGCCCTAGAGGAGTTCAGTGGTACCCATCCTCGGAGAGATTTGCATTTCCTTATGGAGGATGATGTTGATCTAATCTTGTTTTCCACCTTGAAACAGTCACATGTTGTCACCATGAAACCTTGGACCCTGTCATTACTTCCTTCATAATCTCAAATTTGGACATTCAACTTTCAACCATCACTGTTTTTCTGGCTTAACACCTCTTCCCTTCCAACAATTTCTCAGTGCTCTCAGGATCAAATTCTTTTAGATCCCATGAGCTATCATAAAGTCATTCCCTTGTACCTGCCTCCATTCATTGTACTTTCCTGGTAAACCCACAACTCCGGTTGCGTCTGAAGCTCCATCTGTTATGCAGTTTTCCACACTCTGAATATGGCTTGAGAGAAAGTATACAGGAGGCCTTTCTTATTCGTAACCATAACTCTCAAGGTGTGATGATGATGCCTGGCAATCATCTTACCCTGTTCTATATATTCACTCTTCCATTCCCCAGGTAACCATTTGCTGCCTTATCCTTTCTCCTCAAACCTTCAAGGCATCCTTTCCAAGCCTCATTCTTAGCTGATGTCTTTGCTTCCTATTTCACTGAGAAAATAGAAACAGCTAAGAAGACACAACCAGCCATTGGCACCACATTTATCCACCTACAAGCATCTGTTCCTACTCTCCTTCCTTCCTGTTCTGTGGATGGAAAGTCCTTGCTGCTATCTAAGGCCGACTCACTACTCATGATTGCAGCCCACCCTCTCTTAACTATTTATGGAGATTCCTCCAGGAATTGCCCTCTCTTCTACAGTGGTAGGATGCCAATGTGCTATAATAACACCTGCCTTAATTAAGCCTTCTTTGGATTCCATATCCTTTATAACTGCTCTCTTTCTCCATTGCTCTGCTCCCAGTAGCAGTGAAATTCCTTGGTAGATTTTTCTTCTATAATTTTATAGAATTGGAAGAAAAGAATTGGGGGCAAAAAATTATAAAAGAATCTTCCATTCCAAGTCTTTCTCAAACCTACTCCCATCAGGATTATAACCCCACCATCTACCATACTAGCCCCTGGCAAAGCTGCAACAACCTTCAATGATGCTTAACCCAATGAATAATTCTTACGTCTCACAGTACTTGACCTATAGCAACATTTGACAAGGGTTCATCAGTCCTTCCTTCTTGGAAGCAATTTTCTTACTTGGCTTTTCCTCCTACTTCACTAGTTTTATGTCTCTCTTGCTCATTTCCCATATTTTAGCAACTTTAAATTTTGTAGTATGCTCAGGCTTAGCCCTGGTATCTCTTCTTCATCTACACTCACTTCTAGAGTATTTTCATCTATGTACATGAGTGTCAATACCTCTACTAAAAAACAAACAAAAACCCAACATTCCAACTAAATCCCCAGCCTGGACCTCCACTCCACATTTATACACCCAAACTGCCTTCTCAAAATTTTCACTGAATGTCTAAAACATATCTAAAAATTAATATGTCCAAATGGACCTCCTAATTTCTACCTTCTCCAAATCTGCCCCTTCTACCATCTTCACTATCTTAGTTCATGGAAAGGCCATTCTTCTAGTTTTCCAAATAAAAATTTCAGTATTCATTCTCAAATCCCGTTATTAGTTTTCTAGGGCTGCTGTAACTAAGTGCCACAAACCGGGTAGCTTAAGTGACAGAAATTTTTTCTCATAGTTCTTAAGGTGAGATGCCTGAAATCAGGTGTTGGTGCATCTGTTTCCTTCCAAGGGCTATGAGGGAAGGGAGTCTTCTGGGCTCTTTTCCCTCTGTCCCTCTTCCCTCACGGTCTTCTCTCTGTTCATTCCTGTGTCCATCATGTTTGGAATAACAACATGTCACCTTACAAGGTTCTACCTAGTTATTTGCCTCTCACCCACCTCCTTAACATTTTTTCTGTGCTTCTTCCCCATCATACTAACTGCCTTATTCTGTCCTGTAGCAGGCCAGCCTCTCCCTAGTCTGATAGCTTTTGCTTTTCTCTATCCCTAGGAACAATCTTTCCTTCGTTCTTCACATAACTGGCTCCTTCTCATGCTCAGGACTCACTCCATATGTGACCTACTCGGATTATCCAAACTAGCTATCCTCCAGACTAAATCTACCATGACTTTTTTCTTTCAAAACACATATCACATGCAATGGTCTTATGTAGTATTTGTTTACTTGTTTACTATCTATTTTCATTGATGAATATACACATTCTGGCATGGTCAAGACCTTGTCAGCCTTGGTCACCACTCTACCCCAGCCCTAAGGGCTCAATATCTCATATCAGTTCCAGGGAACTTTTCTCCCCAAGAGTTGATTGGTCACTTTCTTCTTGAAGAGCTGAGCTCGCAGCCGGTACGGCTTGTATTCCAATCTCCTCTTCTCCTCGTCTCTCTTTCTCTGAACTTCTGGAAGCTGCTCATAAATCCATTTAGACCTCGGAATCATTTCTTTCTTCCCAATAGGCCTGTTCTTTCAGGCATCCAGGAAGCCTCTTTTCAGAAGCGGGCGCACAGGGTCCCTGGCCCTGCCATTCTCTCACAGCGTTGAACAGGGCCTCCCGCTCGCTCTGCGACGTCTTCTGCAGCTTCCTCTCCTGGACTATCAGCTTCAGACACTTTATCCACTCCCCAGAGCGGAAGATAAAGTCAGGTCTGTGAAACTGAAGGGATTCCTGTAGCGTGGCTCTCACAAACAGCCTTGGGGGCTCTCTGCCTGGGCCTGCTAGTGCCCCGTGGCTGTCCATGTGCTGTCCCTGCCAGTTCTGTCCCCACAGTGGTTCCCTCCATGGTTTGGTGTTGGTTATTGGTGCAAACCAGCAGATACCAGGGCCATGATGCTGGGGCAGGTTTTCCTTAGGACCGGACTTCACATTTTCCACGGGAACAAACCATGAAACTCCTTCACAGAAGCTGTGCTTGTTCTTCCTAAACATTTTGTCCCCAAGATAGTTGGCAAGAAATCTTTTCTCTGTTATTTTTTCTTCTGACCAAGAAGTCACATCACTGAAAGAGAAAAAAAAAAACGAGTAAATGGGTTAATGGGGCCCTGTAATGCCCACCCAGATTAGAAATCTTTACACCAACTACATTAAATTCTTAAAACAATTATTCGGATATGCATGCACATGTACACACACACACACACACACACACACACACACTCAGATAGATAGAGCAGAAAGAACAGATAGAAGATCAGATTAAAAACAGAATTTGGAATAAACAGTGTCAGTCCTCTTTGTTCATATAACCAATTCTTAGAAATACTACTTTCCTCTAGCTGAAATGGGCAACTATGAATTCTAGAGGATTTAGTAGGGAAGCTTCTCTCTGCCTTTGGACAAATGGTGCCCAGCCAAGCTATGTGACAAGAAAGGTGAGATCATTTCAGCAGCTGCCACCTAACTTGAAAAGGGTTGATTGATATGACAAAATCTTTTCACAAAGAACATAAATCAAAGAAGATGACTGACGGCGAAGTAAACATTTTAGATCTAGAGTAATTAGGAATATATTAGCAATTAAAATAAACTTATTATCATTAGCAAAATTGGCAGTTACTTGCAATTTCCCCAGGAGCCTCATTTCAAGTTTATCCTTGTCGATTTTATTATGGCAGGATTAATGTTTTTGGAGATACAGTTCTAACTTTTATGGATTTCATTTTCTCACGTCTTTGCCCATAGTTAGTAGAGCTCAGTGGTCTTCAAACAATAATGTGGTTTTCTATGAGCTGGACTCAGGTGTTCTAACACTAAAACTGAACAAAGCTGTTGTTTACCTAGTTCTCAGAGAAAATTAAGTTAGTGGATACAGGCTTTTTTTTTTTTTCTTCTATAATTTTTTTTAGGCCTCAGCACCTGCTACCACTTGTCTTCTAGGAAGTGCTAAAAAAATGACAAAATACCTGAGCTGGAAACAAATAAATAAACTAATCAAGGGAAAACTTGGTCAACAGCCTTATGGGATCAATAACATATTCCTCCAGTGGAAATGTGTGCTGATGGATCTGGATTTTTGGATGGTAACAGAGGCAGGGTTGACCCCTGTTATTCTAACCACTGGCTGTACCCAGCAGTCTTCTTTGAGACAACCTCATTGCCCTCCATCTTTCCTCACACAAAATAATAAAAATGGAGATATATCAAGCACTGATTGTGGGCAAATGCTTTACACATTCTCTCCAACAAACCTCAGTGAAACCCAATCAAGTAGGCACTTTACTTTTCCCATTTTATAGATGAGGAAACAATGAGGTCAAGTAAAATGTGTAAAGGCCCAGTACTTGAACCCTTACTGGGGGAGTAGAATATCCTGGTATCTCTCCTCTGAGTATATTCAAATTAGTAAAACTCTTTCCTAAAATGTCAACTTTTACTTTTTTTTCAAGTAGTAGGTTTTATACCCAGCGTGGAGCCCAGTGTGGAGCTTGAACTCATAACATGGAGATCGAGAGCTACGTACTTAACTGACTGAGCCATGCAGATGCCCCTCAACTCTTACTTTTATTAAGCTAATGGGCATGGGCAGAAGTCTGGAGGTGTTCAAGTACTTAAATGAGGAGGCCAGGAGACTGAGGTGGGTCTAGTGCGTCGACAGCCTATATAAGTAAACCAAAATCAAAGCCAGAGTTAATTCCTATAAATGCCTCAAGATGTAGAAGTCAAAACCTAAGGACAACCAACCACAGCCGGTTAGGCTTTCCCAAATAAGGCAGCTGCTTAAGCTTTGGCAATCATATGACTTCCTTACTTTGTGTCCTGTCTTGTCTTTTCTTTTCTTTTTTTTTTTTTTTTTAAAGATTTTATTTATTTATTTGACAGAGATCACAAGTAGGCAGAGAGGCAGGCGCAGAGAGAGAGGAGGAAGCAGGCTCCCTGCTGAGCAGAGAGCCTGATGCAGGGCTCGATCCCAGGACCCTGAGATCATGACCTGAGCCAACTCAGAGGCTTAACCCACTGAGCCACCCAGGCGCCCCATGTGTCCTGTCTTTTCTATAAAAACGTTTCCACTAGCTTTTATGAACGAGGAACACTTGGGCACTCAGTTTGGCACTGCCTGACTCAAATCCATGTTTGTTCAAATAAACTCTTGAAAGTTTTAATGTACCTCCATTTATCTTTTAACAGATGGGATAAATGAAGAAAACAAAAACATTTTACACTTGATTTTGAGATGTGGTTTTGTACTTTCATTTGATTGTGGGAGTGTCTCATGTTTGAGGAACTCACATCAAATAACACAAACTCATATCCATAGATTTGGATCAAGGAAGCACTAGAACATTATCTACTAGTCCTGTCCCACCTCTTTTCTCATTTCCTGTCTTTAGCCAAACAGCTGGGAGATGTCATCCCTCAATGGATATAACAGACCAATTTAAATAATGCTGTCCACCTCCAATCTCCCCTGAGACAAGCAATGCTGTTAAATCTGATTTTCTTAGATCTTTCCATTACATTGATCCAAAATAGACAGAGTTTCCTTATCTGTAAAATGGGGGTAATAATAGTACCTACTTTAGGATTACCATCTATGGAGGAAATTATTTTGTTTTCAAAATATGAATAGTGAGCCCTTACTGAATGCTTCCTACATGGCAAGAACTCTTCTAAGAGTTTTACATATATTGTCTCAATCACTCCTCATAGTGTCTGGTATACAGAAGGCACTTGATAAATATTTGCTGATGGATGGAAGGAGGGAAACAAGCAAGCAATTGGTATTATAGAGGTGCTGGTAACTTGGAAGGCTTATTTGCTTGTCCTAAAGATGCAATGCAATTTTCCTTCCTTCTGAAGGAAAATTAACACAAAGCACAACTGAATCGTAACCACAGTATTAATTACACATCATAAAAACACTAAATTATATATAATAGTAAAAATAAGAAGAAACAAATAGCTTTATAGGTCAATGTCTCTTGAATCTATCCAGCACAAAAGAAGCAGGAGGATTTTTTTGCTGTTATTAGAAATTAAAAAAAAAGAAAAACTTTTGAGAGTTACTTCTCCTACTTAGAGACACACAAAAATAGTGTAGTTGTATCCCCAGGAAGCCCCACTCATCTGTTTATATTTCCAGGAGCCACAGGAACAAGTCTGTTTTGAATAATGATTTGAATAAGTAGACGCACACCATGACTCTAAACAGTCTCACTCAGTTGGAGTAAAATGAACTTCGCTTTTCTTGGAGCTGTCAGATTGTGATTTATTTCCCCAGTTCCCTTCCGTCAGTGGACTGTAACAATCACAGCACATCGTGTACCTGTCTTTTGTGCTCCATGGGTCTTTTGTTTCTAAGAAACACAGTGATTGTGATGTTGGGTTGAGGAAAAACACAGCACAATCAGCCCAGGCTGGACCATGACAAATTATGAAGTAGATATTCCTGGTTTCTCTGTTTTATCATCTGAGGCTCTTCTCTCTTACACCAGAGTGGTAAATTGGTCAAGATCTTGTTTCCCAAAGGAGCTCTTATCCTAGATTTTGGTGAAAGGTCCTAAGACCTTTGTCTAATGTCCAATGACCAAAAGGATGGGACACTCTTCCTGAGTAGCCTGATAGGTCCCCTTAAAATATGGACACGTCCATGGTGATCCTATTTAAGTCATGAGATGTATCCATCCGGAATGTCAAGCTCTTGGAGAGTCTGACTCACTGACTTATTAAATCACTCAACAAATATTTATTAAGCAACTAGTATCAGGAATTGTGCTCAGAGGTAGGATTCAGAGATGAAAAATAAGCCCCCTTCCTGCCTTCAGGTAGCTCTGTCTCAAAACAAGCTGAGGGTTGCTGGGGGAGGGTGGTAGGAAGAGGGTGGTGGGGTTATGGACATTGGGGAGGGTATGTGCTATGGTGAGTGCTGTGAAGTGTGTAAACCTGGCAATTCACAGACCTGTACCCCTGGGGCTAATAATACATTGTATGTTAATAAAAAAAAAAAAGTGATGCAGTATGGAGGGCAGTTTGGGGCATAAAATTCTGGTAATATAATCTCACTGGGCTTCAGTTTCCTTATTGACAATATGCAGATGATAACATTGTCTATCTCCAAGAGTTAATGTGAGAATTAGTTCAGACTTACAAAGGACTGGGCCATATTGAGTACATGGTGCTTAAAAATATCCCAGAGACTTTTATGCAGTAGAATGACAGCATTGTTTGTTCACTTGTGTATAAATGGATAGAATACCCTAGATCCACAGATATTAAGTTTCATGTGAAACATATATTAAGTTTCATAAGAAAAATTCAAGGCCCTTAAGATCCCTAGACAGCTTAACAGTGAGGTTGAGAGTTTAAGAGTGAATCTTTTGAAGGTAAGGATAAAAGTTTAGAGCCAATATACCAGATACCTGGGTTGCAATTGGTCTTGAGAAATTTCTAGAGTTCCAGACTATCTCCCTTTTTTCTCCTCTGACCCAGAACCCAAGGTCCTTTCTACTGGTCCTGACTTCATGTCTGTTAGCTCAGAAACTACCCTTCCACTTGGATTATCCCCCAGTACCAGCTTCCTGTCAGAAATAGGTCTTTTTTAGTCTTGATGAACCTCTCACTGTCAAATGTACAAGTTCAAGTATAGGCATATTTGGTACACTAACTTGTTGCTGAGGGCATGTCATCTCCTATGTGAGCAATCAGACATTAGCCACAGATTCTCCGTGGCATAGCCATAGATTGCCTGCACTGTCGGTTCCATGTGGAAATGGGGAAGTCTTAGCTCTGGAAGGTGGAGTCATCTGTCTGATGCCACATTGTAACATGTCTGTGGATTTTAACCAGGTCTTCAATGCCAGAGTTCACTTTCTTTACCCCACATTGTGTGGCTTCCAAAAAAATAGTGAAATGATGAGAACAAGGGTTTGGGGCAGGAGCAGAGGATGTCACCTAAACTTAGGGTTTGAGTGCCTTCGGGAGTCTCCTTGGAACTCCAAATATTTCTCTCCAGGTGGGGATATGGCACCTGAAATCCCACCTTTCC